AAATTTAAAAGCCGGTTGCTGATAATTAAAAAAAAAAAAAAGGCCAAATATCGGCCGATATATCGGCTTTGGCAAAAACTTAATGGCCAATACTGGTAATACAAAAAAAAGCCAAATATAGGCTATCAGCTTTGGCAAAAACATAACTGATACTGATAATGAAAAAAAGGCTAAATATCAGCCGATATATCCACCTTGGCAAAAATTTAATGGCCAATACTGATAATTAAAAAATGCCAAATATCAGCCGATATATTGGCCTTGCAATATAACAGTCGATCAATACACATGTACAGGAACAGTACATTTTCAGTTTTCCATACTTTTCCGTAAAATAAAAATTGTCAAACGTCTTGTGTTATTATGTGCTTATTTGCAAAAGCAATTTAAGTAAAAAAAATCATTTCAATTAATTTGAAACATGAGCATGGTATACCATACCAATAAAAACAACTCTAATTTAACTCTACATATGAACAATAGTAATAAAGTTGCTTGTAAACACCACTCATATTATATTATTGTTGTTTGTCCCACCTACCTCTATGACAGCATAGCCTTTGATTGGTCGTGTCACACTGGCATGGATGTCTGGCGAGGCAACTGTGTACATGGAACTCCCATCTGAGACTGACGTCGCACCACTATCCAACTGCTCCCCAATGCTGCCGAGACTACCTTGACTTCCTGTGCTACAAAGAGACACATCCAGACTCTCCTGACTGGAGACCATGCGGGGATCCAGCGGTGCATGTGGCTGGGAAGGTGCTATTTGAGGGGTTACCAGCTCTTGGTTCACTAGCAGCTCACCGGCAGCCCTGGAAGCTCCCTGTAAAGAGCCGGAGACCGACGTCTGGCTCGCTGAAGCTGAGGCACTCATTGCTGGCGTTGCGCTGTTGCTATTTGGGCTTCCTGCAGTGCAATCTCGCTTTGCACCTTGGGAAATACCTGAAGTTTCAGCTTTGGCTTTTTTAGGGTCCTCCTCCTGAACCGGAATAAAGATCTCATCCTTGAAGAGACCGCCGTGCGCGTTGCAAGCCCTTCGGATTGCATTGCGCACCACAGATTCCTCCAAGTGAGTGGGGATTCCTGAGAGCACGAGCAAACGACTGTGAGCGGTGGAGCCAACCAAGGCTTGGCAAGCATCTGCAACCGCATCTTCAGTGACGCCCAGACCTTGCGGGTCCTTTTTAGCAAGGTGCCGCAAAATCAAGAGTAACGTCAACCCACGGTGAAACCACAGCATGTCCTCTGGCTTCCCTCCGGCCATGTTTAGTAAAGCACTGTCACATTCTGATGGTCTCGCTCCACTTCCAGAACCATGTTTCCCTGAGATGGCAGCTGCCGAAGTACCGGTGACTGCTGCACGTTCACGCTTTAGCTTCACCTTTTTGCGCTTCGAAAGCAAGCTTGGACTTTTGGGCGTCTGGCCCGGAGAGGACGACGAAGAGGACGAGGAATCGCTACAGTTAGCGGTGCTCGTGGACGAAGGGGCCTGATGGTCTCGCTCCACTTCCAGAACCATGTTTCCCTGAGACGGCAGCTGCCGAAGTAACGGTGACTGCTGCCCGTTCACGCTTTAGCTTCACCTTTTTGCGCTTCGAAAGCAAGCTTGGACTTTGGGGCGTCTGGCCCGGAGAGGACGACGAAGAGGACGAGGAATCGCTACAGTTAGCGGTGCTCGTGGACGAAGGGGCGCCTACCGCCGAAATCCCTGCACCTGTACTGAGCGGCAGAGTCACTTCGGCGACTGCCAGACACACCTCCATCAGGGCATGGAAGTAGGTTGAGAAACGGCTCCGCTCGGTGACGAGCGCAAGCGCTCCGCTGCTACCCGCTGCGGAAGTGCAGGAACCTCCGCTAACTAGCCCCCAACTTTGGGTCTCGTGGTCGTAAAGTTTTCGCAGCTCGGATTGAAGAACCATAAGGACTGTTAGGCAAGGGTTGAGAAGCAATGTAATGTGGCTAGACAGACCCGAGGGGGTTTTGCGACGCTCGAAGGCATGGATCTTGCGGAGAAGCTCTGCAAGCAAGTGGAAGATCAGCTCCTTGATGCACGGCGCAATATCGGTGGTCCACAGAAGCCCACCTAAAGACAGACACAGCAAATGTGATGCTGAAAAATGGAACTGCACTGGAAGTTTTAATAGTATGCTTCATGGGACCCTCGGGGCAAAATAAATGAACATTTCTTACCCAGCAACTCTACAACCTGCATAAGCACAGAAGTGGGCACAGTGTCCAGCTCATCCTCAGAGCGGTCAATGGTTTCCCCTATGGTGTAGGTTAGCAGCTGTTCAGCAAAGGCCAAGGCCAAGGGAAACTCAAGAGGCAACGAGTGCAATACCAGCACTGCACCAGGAGGGGGAGATACACCTGAAGACAGTGACCAGAATATGAGTTAAATATGCCATGAAAAGGAAAATCACCCTCTATTTTCTAAGTGTATCTTACTGATCATATGCTGTGGTCACACTAGACTTTGAGCATGCAGCCTACCCTTGTGAAAAAGAAGTACACTTTAGCATACTTCCAAAAAGAGTACTTATTACGGAAATAATACATTTTAAAAGAAAATACTTAAGTGCCAACTGAATGTTAATTGCAAATGAATGAAAATTGTTTTTAAGTTTCTGTTAAATGCAATTAGCTGAACTTTGGACTGCTTTTTTGATGTACTTAAGTAGGACTCAAGTACATCTTTATTCTATTGTCTTTGAAATATGAAACAATAATTTACGGGAAACTTAAATATGTTTAATGTAACTTCTACTGAAACGTATAAGTCATGTATTTAAATATATTTGTAACTACACCTTTATAACAATGAGGTTGCAATTTAGTGCATTTAAAATATATTAACCTTAAATGTAATCTTAAAAAAATATTATCAAGTACATGTGCTTTATTATGTTAGTCATAACATCAAAATAAGTGCACTTCTTTAAAGTATGACTAAAGATTTTTAAAACGATTTCAAAAGTACTTCAAAGTAAAACTTTTAATTTGACATTATTACAAAGTGTGCTTTTTAAGTGTACTTAAGTGTGTTAAGAAAAAGTCATGAAAGTGTCTCACTTTAAGTCACTTAAGTGGCGTTTTATTTTATATTATCAGTAAATACAGTTTTTTTTAAATACACTAATAAGATTTGAAATACACTACAAGTGTGCATTCAATACAATTAAGCACACTTTTTTTTTTTTACAAGAGATTCCCCAGATGCTGATTTAAGTGGCCCCTTTGCTAACTACTGTATAGAGTATTATATAATACAAAATATTTTTATGTGTATTGAACATACTGTGTAAAACCTTAAGAGTAGCTGAAATCCAAAAATGTATCTAACAATGTAACATGTTATTGACATGCCTAGTTTGACATGCACTTTGTCAGTGGGGATGATGATGCTGGGATACTGGTTGGCTGTGGGTGGAGGGGTGAGTCCTGTATTGGACGGGGAAGCGTCCAGCGGGTAGCACACTGCCTCCATCAGATTCAGCTGGCCATTTCGCCGCACCTTATGACCAAGTCCATACACCATTACACGAGTCCAAGGGGCCTTATATAGAGAGGAACTAAGAGAAAAATACACATGTGAGCATATAGAGCATTTAGACAGAAAACGTCCATATTAAAAAAAATAAAAAAATAAAAAAATAAAGTAGTCTTGCACTATGCAAAACTCACTGCTTAATGAAAGCAAGATACAAAAAAAGGTCATTCAATAACATGAGTGCTTGTGACATCCATAGAGAAAACACAGCTAATGTTGTCTTGTCTCGGAGTTATAACTAGCTAAAATTATAATCTGTAAGAACTCACTCTTTGCGGCAGCTGAGTTGGCTCTCTTTGCAAGAGACGACCACAAAGGCGGCACCAGGGAAGTTCACGTCCATGCTGACCTTGGATTCTGAGATGGGAAACTCTTCCAGTGTGAACTGCTCTGGAGCGCTCTGAAATTTTAGCGATCATAAAAAAATATAACCACAAAAACAACTAATAATCATTTAACAGAGATTAATTTAACTTCCATATGTTTCTTAACATACACGTGTAACACAATTTTTATGTGAAATATAGTTTTACTTTAAAGTTGCACGCACACACACACGCGCGCACGCACACACACGCACACACACGCGCGCACGCACACGCGCGCACGCACACGCACGCGCACGCACACGCACGCACACACACGCAGCTGGCTTGCATTCTTAAACATGCTGGTGTTGAATATGCTTCCCTGGCTGACGCTAACACACACTCACACACCCACTACCCCTCTCCTCACACACACACACACGCACACACACGCACGCACACGCACGCACACGCACACACACACACACACACACACACACACACACACACACACAGCGCTTTATAAAAAACAAATAGTTTCAAAGATGCTTTACATTAATAAACAGAAAAATAGCAGTTAGTGTTGTAAAATTCACCAATTATGACAAATTCATCAAATTCAGCTGTAAATCAGCTCTAGAGAAGAAAATAGAGTCTTCTCAACATTATTCAGCTCAAATCAATTAAAAGTTGATTCAATTTAGGTCAACAGCAATGTTGATGTTGCAAAGTTAGTGTCATCATCTTATAATAAAGTACATTTTAAATTATTGTTTTAATAATGGTTAATAACAAGTAATAATCATTTGACTGTTGGATTCATTTAAATATCACAGAATATGACGTTTAATTTGCAATGAATATTTGCAAAGTAATTTATAATATTCTCAGTAATGCTCCAGTAATTGTTAATATCTAAATTACAGTATTTCTGATCACAAATAAAGAGAAAATAATATTAAGAGTCAAATAATAGTTTTATTTTGGGAGCTTTAGAAAAGTAAATGTTTTTTTTTTTTTAATTATCGTTAACTAAAACAAAAACCATTATAAACATTTTCATTAGTAGAAATATAATAAACATTAACTGAAATAAATGGTTACACTTTATTTTAAGGTGTCCTTGTTACAGTGTAATTAAAATTAAAATATATAAAAATAACATTTAATTTAAAATACTAACAAAAACTATAATAATATATCAAATTATACTAAAATAACACTGATCTCTTCTGTCAATCAATTTTTATAAAATAAAAATCATCATTTTTAGAATAATAATGATAATAATAATAATAATGTATCCCTGCAGAGAAAAATGCATAATCGTGCACAGATCAGTTGTGAGGCGTTGGTACCTGCAGGAAGCAGCAGATCTGTTTAGTGAGCTCGAGGAGGCTGTCCTCTCCCTGATGCAGGGCTCTGCTGATGGCCACCGTCAGCCACTCGCGGATGCTCTGAGCGTTTCCCTGATAGAAGAGCTCGGTCGGGGAGCAGCTCTCGCCCTGCAGCTCGTGGAGGACAGACTGAGCCAGCAGAATAGAGTTTGAGCTGATTCTGCCATCTACAGACGCCAAGGCAAATCAACAAACACAGAAAAGTGAGTTTTGATTGTTTTTCCTAGTATGTATTAAAGGAACAGTTCACCCAAAAATTACAATTTGCTGAACATTTACTCAACCTCAGGCCATCCAAGATGGAGTTTGTTTCTTTAACAGATTTGGAGAAATGTAGCATTGCATCACTTGCTCACTAATGGATGCTCTGCAGTGAATGGGTGCCGTCAG